TACATAATTGTTTGTGTTAGAAACGTAATGCCCTAGTAAATGTATTCTTGAGATTAGAATTTAGGAAGGAAGGAAAATATACATTTGAAGGGCCCGTATGGGAAAGAAACAGGACGAGTGATATGCGATAGTGGTGGTAAAAAAGCTTTTTTTTTACAATTGCTTTACAATAAAAAGTGGCAGCACAGCGTCACATTAAAAACGGCAACAAATCATGTAGTATAACACAATGAAATACTTGAGATTTATATGTTCCTTGCAAAAAAAAAATTATTCCACCAGAACACATGGCTACGTTTCAATGGCTGTAAATGGAAAATATGCTTTTTGCAGACTTCTACCAGTAGGGGCAAACTGGCCTGTTCTAGCTTGCCAAAACTTGACCCCTTGGTGCTAATTCACATGTACCAGACAGAAAATCCATATTTTACGTAAACCTTAGTCTTATCCTAATCTCTCTCCGGTGTTTTAAGAGGCCTATGTTGTCCTAAAGTGACTGTAAGACCTGTGTTCATGGTTTGCTTTTCCTCCCTTGATATCTGAGCTTGTTCTCGGTCCAGCTGCAATATAACGGCTGAAGCCGAAGCAGACGCTCTCCTCAGAGGCAACAGCGCTCACGCTGATGAGGAGAGTTTGAGCAAAGGCAGGGATGGAGATAGAGACTGTTTGGGAGTGTGACAAACAGATACAATCAGAATGAATAAGAATGGCAATTAATGAATGAGACAGCAAGAGACAGACATCGGAGGAGTGGCTGTGGTTCAGATGGGAGTTCTGATGGTGCTTTAATGAAGTGCTCTCTAAAAGGAACAAGCGTTGTTGGAGCAAGATCACACACATAAACTCATTGACTCAATGGCTGTGCTTGTACCGAGCCAGGCCGTTATAGCCACAGTCAGGATCAGCAAGATAAAGAAACAAAAAATGGAAGAAAATGTGAATGGTGCCTTTCCAGGGTATTGCTATGTGGTTACTAGGTGGACATCCCTACCCTTGTGGTGACATCTACTGTTCTTTGGCAAATTTCTCAGTTGAAATACAGTCATTTTAACTGGATGCCATGAGATCGGGAATTTTGCATGTGGGGGAAAGATTTCTCCATGCAGATTTCGCATCACATAAATTTTCTGCATCGACCAACAAAATATTTAAAGTGACTTCTGTATGAACTAGACGATGGATCTTTTTTGCTTGTGAAATTTTGATTTATAAGTATTGTTGTATTCCATTATGGCAATATTATTTTAATGTATTATTTAATTATTGTAGAATTGACTTAGCCTATTATAGATTGCATACTGATTTGATTGCTACTAATCAAAGCTTTTGCCTGAACATTAGTATCAAATATTTGTGTTAAATGGTATTTGTATATTAAATCTCAGCCACTCTCAGCCATATTTTTAAAGTTGGCAAAAAATGGAAATCTATTTTATAAATGCATGTTATGTTATCAATCTTAAAGTGAACATGCATATATTTTATTTTTTACTTTTTTTTAAAATAGCATAACTCTATCATCTGGTGAAACAATGAACTTCTCTCTGGTGACATATGACAGACTCCACCAATCATTTAGTCTGTTTAAACCCCGCCCCTTTCTTGCAATCGACTACAAGCTTTCATTCATGTCTGCCTCCATCCATCCAATTAAATCCCACCTTTTCCCATTTTTGATAATCTGTTTAACTCAGATATATGTCATAATACATTTTAAATGACCTGTTTTAAAATTACAACTTTAATGTGCAGTTTTGTTATTTTGAACCAATAACAATGTTCTACTTTGTTTTTCTATCCACCGGGTGAAAGCATGCCACAACGGGCCAAAGACTCGGATGTAATGTTATTCGCTGTCAAAGTGACGCCAAAATGAATGGGAATCATTGGGATGCTAAGTTCTGCTACAATGGTAGCTCCCGCGAGGCTTCAACATCCGGCTTATGGATTAACCCCTTGGGAAAACCCAGACAACTTCTGGCAAATTTAGATTTGCTCTGAAAGTTAGTCTGGCAAAGAGCTCATTCAAGCCCATTTCCAATCCGTCGAAATTGCGGCACCAATCAGAAATGTTGGGACAACGTTTTGAAGCAGATTTTGTAGCCTACATTACAAAGATGGACGCCGCCGTCGAAAATCACTTGTTCGAATCAGCTATTGCGTCTGTTTTAAGCGATTTGAAAGTTTCCTTTTTGTTAAAAACCGAGCAAAGAACAACACTCTGAGATGTTTCTCCGCCGGCCATCGCTCTGCATACGTCATCTCCTTCATCGCTCGGATTGGTTTTAGGTCTACCCGCGACGTCCGTTGGTGACGCCCCTCTGGAAATGATTTCTCTATGATGCTTTGCCAGACCATAACTCAGTTACAACTGAGAATGGTTTGGTTTTAACCAGGCTAGCCAAATACTGAAGTTGTGGTCACATTTACTGTTGCTCTAGGAATTTCATGAGCTAAATCTAATCTTTTTTCTGGAGGCATCACAAGTTCATATTGTTTCTGCATCTTGACACACAGAAAGATGCTTTGTTTGAAAGTGACTTTGATGTGAGCTATGCTTTAAACATAGCAAATCTATTAACAATAGACGGCGGTGAAATTTTGCCGGTATGTGACCACGCCTTTAGGGGTTTGTTCAAATTCTCAAACGTATACTGTAACTGAAATATTTCAGAAAATGTATAGTGATACTTTCCTTAGATGAGGAAAGTCTTGTCCTCAGCAGACCCATCCCACCGAACATCTGTCACTCTGGAGTGTGATACCTGACACGGACAGATGTTTTAACAAATGGGCCTGTATCATAATCAGTTGCTCAATAAAGACTCTTTCATCTCATTGTAAAACGAGTTATTTTCACAGTAAAACTGAGGGGAGTTCATTCTGGGTTCTTTGAAATGGGTTTCACCAGGCCGGGCCGCCTTTGGGGATTGGGTGGTGGTCAAAGCCCAGCCTGATGTATTTAAGTCAAGGCATTTACTCTGGCCACATTCTCCCCAACAGCCCCGCCAACTGACACCTGGGCTGGCCAGCATGCCGTTTGAGCCCACCTGCTCGCCACACATACCGCAATGCAAACATTTCAACAGTTAGGTCGACTTTAAAAGCTCCACGTGACTTAATGAGAAAGAATCCGAGGTCTGCGTTTCACCTCTTTCTCTCTCTCTCTCTCTCTCTCTCTCTCTCTAGAGGGCATTTAGAACTGCCCATTAACGGCCAAAGTGTGGATTTCCTGTGAAATAACGATTGTGCCCTCCACATGGTTCGCGTCTAAATACTCAGGAACACTTAGTTAAACATGAAGCCCGGCGCTCGGCAATCGGAATGGGATTGCTTCCAGCTGTGCCCCACTGACCAGCATCCAGAGTGAGAGAGATCCATCAGAAGTCTTTCTTTATTGATGCCGTGGCTTATATTGCATATTTTAGCTTTGCTGTGGAATAACAGGGTGTGAAGTGGTCAGAGATTCACTTAGCCCCAATCCCTCTTCTTCCATGATTTCACTTTCAGATCGCAATCTAACTACTCTGTGCCTGAAGGTGACCTGGCAGATGACTGCTCTAATTTCTCGGATAGCTTAGTTTCATGGCAGAGGAAAGTGCTGTAATTCCTTAAAAGTCCACTTTGGGGATTTTCTTTGAATTCGGTCTATTGTTCGCCACAGGAATGCTAAAAAGCCAAAGAATCACATTTTAGGGACTGTTTCAACCATCTGTCCTAGAATGGATATTGATGGTGTATTGTCCCCTCCCTTTAAAAGTGTTGCACAGTGCTGAGTTTCAATGTTGTTACAATATCTTCCTTGAATTTCCTATTAATTATGAGAAAATGCATATTTTAGAAAGGTCAGTTGCTTATAAAAACTTCCCAAGTACGCTAGAAGATTTAATTATTTTAGTAGTATTTTACTAAATTAGATGTGTGAATGATATTGTGCACATTTTTATACTATTATTGTTTTTTTTTCTATTATCTATTGATTCTAAATTTGTATTTATTTAATTATTTTTTAGATTAAAAGCTCAGTCACTATGATTGCATGGAAAACATCGACCTCAGAATTTCTCCTTTTGTGTTCCACAAAAGAAAGTAATTCAGTTTTAGAACTACAATAAGGGTGAGTATTCTGAGTTGGCCTAAATGAAAAATAATCTGGGGGTGAACAATTCCTTTAACATTGTGAAATCTACCATAATGTAAATAATACAGGTTTTATTTAAATTGTAGCCTACATTTGTATATTTTAGTGTGTTCAGTTATTATGTTTAGTGCCTTATTTATTCATAAATGTGTGTAATATTAATTTTATATTAAAATATTAGTTATTTTGATGTTTATACATAATGTATAAACATCAAAATAACTAATATTTAAACACATAATAATAAAATTACAAGAAAAAAATCTTTTCTCGTGTCATTTGGTTCATTCAATGAACGAAATGAACGAATTGACTCGTGAAAAGTGTCAATTTTGATGAACGAATTTGAGAGTCAAGAACGTGCATCACAGAGTTATTTTTTAAACTTTGTTATTTATTTTTTAAATGAGCGATTATTTCGCTAGATAAGACCCTTATTCATCGTCTGGAATCGTTTAAAGCCCTTTCAACAGTTTGCAGTTTGCACTGAAACTGTCTTTTGGACCTTGAACAGTTTGGATACCAGTGATGTGCATCATATGGAGAAAAATCCTGGAACGTTTCATCAAAAACCTTAATTTCTTTTCGACTGAAGAAAGAAAGACATGAACATATTGGATGACATGGGGGTGAGTAAATTATCAATTATTTATTTATTTATTTATTTATTTTAAAAGTGAACTACTCCTTTAAAGGTCAGCGGCATTCACTCATTGCACGACTAGCATGCCAAGGCATGCCTCTAATGTGGTTATCAGTCAGTGTTTAAGGATATGATGCATTCATCCGTGTTCTGATCAATCCCAAACATCCACTTCCAAATTTCAGTTTAAACTCCCCAATAAACTCTGACGTCCGCGGCGCGTGCGTGAGAGAGAGTGAGTGAGTGAGTGAGTTAGAGCGCAAGCGATCTGTTCCTGTTCATCACTCACACCAGCAGCAGCACCAGCTCGGACCTTATAAACTCTCCATCCCAAATACTGGAATATCAAACCGAGCAATATGAAATTGGACATAATGTGGATTTATCAAACTCTTCTGTGTGTCTTATTGTCCCTGGATGCGGGTGAGTGACCATGACCACGTGTGCTTTATTGATTAACTGATCGTGTTTAAATTGTGTTGATCACATGTTATATTGTCTTTGAGAAATATGAAGTCGATAAATCGTTCATGCATCTAAAAAAAAGTGAATCACGTTATGGATCCATAACTATTTTGTGTTTTCTTAGAAAAAATAATGTGCTGTAATGTGTTTAATGTGCATTGCGAGGGTAACGTGATTCTGGGAATATTGGATATTATTTTTTTTTGTGTATATTTATTATTTAAGACTGGTTGTTGGCTGCTATCAGTGTTTTCCTTGCAAAAAAATATAATAAATAATTATATGATCAATAATTTATGACAACATATATTTTTACATTACTTTCACTCATCAAAATAAAACTTTTTTTATAGGTTATGCAAGATTCAACTAATTATTATTAAGCCAGTTTAATGTAATTTAAGTTGACAAACAAATTTTTAGTGTAGTGTAAAACTATATAAGCCGTCAGTGTCTTGACAAGAAGTTAAGCAAGATGAAATTCTGGCTCTGTCTGAAGGAGATCTCATATTAATGACAAACTACACTGTAAACTCTCTCTCTCAGTACTCTAAAACTGGGGTTAATTAAACTTTATTATGTATGAATGAAGCTTAATTGCTACAAAGTGGTGCCAGAGTCACAACCTGCAGCTGTAGGTTCATCGCACTTTACTGATGAAGAAAGAAACTAGAGTTAAAACTCTTACTCATGTAAACAAGTGGAAATACAAGATATTATTGTAACAATGATTATTATTTTTTTTTACAGTATGGTAGAATTTACCATGGTAAATTGTAGGGTTCGTGTTTAGGGTTATCCATTTAATAAAAGAAGATTTTCTCCCAGTCCCTGCTTTTATGAGGTACAGAAAACTAAAAAATGCAATTAAGGGGGAATAAACAATCAAGGGGGTTTGTAATAGGGGGCCACAGTTTTCAAACTGTCCTCATTTACAATAGTGTATATTTAGTTTGGATTTTACACAAACCCATTGACCCTTCCTCATGTTTCAGTCTCATAAACGGAAGCCTGGAGATGTTGCCTGCATCACGTAGTGAAGAGCATATGGGGTGGTGTGGCCTAATGGTCATATTTCTGTGCTGGAACAGTAGGCTGTAGGTTCAAACCCCACATGATTATCACCATATATCATTTTCATGGGGCCTGAAACTGTAAAAAGTGTATAAAAGCGCCAACATTTGCTCTACTTTCAGCCCTGGTCCACTATAGAAACTGATGCTCAATAACAGTGACATGCATCATTAGATGCTCAACAGTAAAGCACCAGACACATTTCCAGCAATGGGCAAACGCACATGTGGGGTGAATGGACTCTCTAAAGCGACGTTATCGACATACTGTGCAACATCTGGACAGAGCCGTTTCTCCCATATTTCACCATTGCAAATATTCACCAGACCAGATGTGCTGCGTAAACACAGAACGAGAGGTTCTTCAAACTTTCACTGAAGCTCTAGGAAAGGAAAGGACATTAGTGAGTCAGACTGAAACCATTAATGCTGATGCCCATCCTCATTGCTACCATCATCCCGTTGATATTTAAGGAAGTGGTTTAGCCAAATCTAATAAGCATGCTGGGAGATAAAGATGCCCCCGACAGGCCAGAAAGAGGAATTTAAAGGAGTCTAATTGGGGCGCTGAAGGAAAAGATCAATGTTTGAAGAGCTGCTTGATGAAATCCAGATGTGTTCAGATGCGGCCCAAACATTAATAATGTGTTCTCACCAAAACCGCTTCAGCCACAGGAGTTTGGTCTGAGATGTGCAGCTCTGCGCGTGCCTGAATCAAACTGAGGGGTGTTACCTTTCACCCCTGATTTTCAACAGTTTACTGAATGACTTGATAATCAGGCCACCGGGCCCAAGGCTACTGCACAGAACTCATCCAAGTTCATGCCCACGCTGTCGCTGAGTGAGATAACAGCCTATGGGAGACTATACAGTTCTGTTATCAGCCTTTAAAGGGGATAGTTCATACAAAAGGAAGTGAGCATGCCTGTCAAGCCTCAAAAAGGACAGAAAAGAAGCACTGTCATAAAATGAGCCCATACGACTTGTATGCTTTTGACCAAGTCATTCGATAGATTTGTGTGAAGAAATTTCACTGGTAACATTTGTGATTCAATGAGTGTTAAAACATATCGTTTATTCCAATTTGTGAATGATTCAGTCAGGTTCGATCATGTCCCAGATGCTGCCCTTATGGTTTACTGTCAAATCCGACACTCTTGTTATAATCACAAGCATGTGGACAAGATGACAATCACAAGTCCGCAAAACGGAGTACTCTCTTACTCAAAGATCTGGTTGCTGCGGCTTTCACTTTGACCAGTTAAATTTGGCATGGAACCGAAGTTGTCTTTTCTTTCCTATCGAGACGTATCCGGGTGAAATTCCCGTGCAAGAAAAAATGTTGAGCGGGAATTGATTTTGTCAATGGGGGATTGATTGGATCGTTCTGGTTTTGTTATTGCTGTGATGTCATGTGAGTGACAGGTTGTCCCACTCTCATGCCAGAAAACACGTCATCACAGAAGAGCCATCGCTGCAATAGGCAGGGGAAATCAGTGAATAATGTCTGCATGAGTTGTATAGACTACTTTTATGGGACAATAAGAGACAAAAATTGGTGCAGTTGTAAGTTTTGGTGCAGATCAGCAAATAAAGACAGTGTAAGGAAGATGTTGTACCTGGAAACAACAGAAAGAGTATATGTTTTTGTGGGAGTTAATGTGAGCTTAGCACATGTATGTATATAACCTGACTTTGGAAATATCCCCGGACCACCACAGTGCAGTGAATCGTAAGTGAGAGTCTCTGGGCCCTTCACTGGCCTCTCATTCAATTCTGTAGAAGAAATAAATAGCAAACAGTCATAAAATAGCAAACAGAAACCTGATTTCACTCATGTTAAAGAATGTAAATGCTGACGAGTCTATGTATGTTGACTCTGCTTACTTTTGTTCATTAAAGAAACTTTTTAGACACCAAAGAATCTTTAAAAAAAAAAAAAAAACAGGAGCAAATCAGAGTATTAGAATGATTTTTGAAGGATCATGTGACACCAGACTAATAATTCTGAATAAAAAAAATATTACAGTTTAATATAGCCTTGTTGAGCAAAAAAAAAAAAAAAAATTTTCATTTTAAAAATGTCAAAACAAACATTTAAAAATGTCTTATTTTTAGTGTGTAATGAAAATATCTTATATTAAGTTTAAGTTTTATATTAAGTTTTATATATTAAAATTTATTTTAAGTTTTATATTAAGATTTTCATTACACACTAAAGATTGAAAAATTTGTCAAATTATTTCCGTTTTAATTCACAGAGACACAAATTTGGTAAAAATGTGACTGTTTCCTGAGAATGACCCTTCTGATAATGTGTGTCACATGAGGTTACGAGTGTACATGTACGTGTGCATGTGTTTAAGTTTTAAGGACCTGCGTGTGTTTTTAGTGGGTTTAATCTCCTTGTCTCTTTTGTTCAGAGTGCAGAAAACAGTCATTGCAGAGGTATCAGAAAAGTGAAAACAGCCGGCTGCTTTGTACAGACTGTCCAGAATCTCCTCGAATTAGAAACCTCTCGCTGGATGACTGTGCACGCAAATGCAGCAAGAGCAAGAAGTCCTGCAGGTGACAGATGCACATGTAATCATACAACCAAAAAATAGTTCAACCAAAAAATGAAAAATTCTGCTAACATGTACTCATATCGTTTTTTTTTTTCTTCGTAACACAACCCTAGTGAAAAAAACCTATACCAAAATGTATTTAAAATACATTTATTTCATATTTACTGACATATTGAAACTTGCTGATATAAATATTATAATTTAACTTTATTTGCACAATGAACATTTCTTAATATTAAGCCTAAAATGTGTTTTAATTTCACTATTAGTAAGGATAGTATGATCTCTGTATAATATCAGTTTTTAAATGCAGGATATTTAAAGTGTACCTAAAGTATACATGTAATATTTCCACTTTAGCACAATCAAATATTGTTAAGGATTTGTTTTTAATTGGACCTCAGCACTATTTCCAGATAACTGAAGTGCGTTAAGTACAAAATTAGTTGTTCCAATTTAGCAGACCAATTTAGTATACCAAAAGCACTATTGTAGGGTATTTTTATTTAGATGTGTAAATGTAGTATACTTAGCATAAAATATTTGAAAAATATTTTGGTATGCTTATTTTTCTTTAGGGAAAAGAAGATATTTTTAATGTTTTTGTCCATACAATTAAATTTAATGGGACACATTCTTCAGAATATCTTGTTTTTCACGTTTGGAACATCATGAAGGTGAGTGAACGTGGACAGAATTGTCATTTTTGGATGAACTATTGATTCAGCAAGCTCATCTGATCGTGGTGATTCTCTGACCCAACAATTGTCTCTCGTTTTCTTGGTTTTCTCTCCTTGCTTCCTTACAGGGCATTCTACTTTGACCAGATAAACAGGAAATGTCACTTGCTTCCCTTCGATCGTTTCTCAGAAGGCGCAAAGAGAGAGCGAAAACCCAATTGTGACCTTTTCGAGAAAAAAGGTAAATATTTGAAATTCCCTTTTGAAGTTCACTCACACTTGACTTTTTACTTTTATTCCTTCCGAAGTTTTCTTGGAAATATTTGGTTGTAAAACTGCGCAAATGCCAGTCATGTTTGTTTAGATTGCTGGCTCGAAGTGTAAAATCACTTATATGTATAAAACCCCCTCTGTCATTGTAAACAACACATGCTTAAGAGATTTGGCAGCAAACAGAGTATAAGAAAGCATGACTGTTGACGGTAACAAGATGCCGTATGTTTATGCTTTCAGCAAAAGCTGGAGTTGAAAATGTAGATTTATGCCGTACTCGTCCGTAAAACTCTTGTTTGGAGACTTAAATCACTTCAGGATGTCAGTGAAATGTGTAATCTGTAAACAACGTTCATCATATCAGATTATATGAATATCTGTGTGTCGTATGTTTTTCCGCAGACTATGTGAGGGAGTGCATCATTGGGTCAGGTGTCAACTACAAGGGGAGAAGGTCAATCACAAAGACTGGAATTACGTGTCAATCCTGGAATATGTCCATCCCACATGAGCACAAGTAAAAAGTCACTCTCTTATATATTATATTTTTGCTTTCTCTCTCTTTGACTCTCTGGGATGAATTTACTAAACAGTTGTGCTACTCCAATGTGCGCTGGTGGATTAAGTCATTTTCATTATTTTCTGTGCAAATAGATCTAATTTAAATGCAAATAATGCTAATTGTACGTGAATGGCATTTTTTTTTAAATTTAAATTAGCCAGGCACTTAAAAATACCCCTAAATAATGCTTTGGGAAGGAACAGGATCTTGCAAGAGATCGACATTGTGACAGCTCTTGATTTCTTAGTGAATTGTTTTACATCAATGGAGCCGGCGCATTCAAATAAAACTCAAACAATTTACCTTAGCATAAATAGCATATCGCTTCTATTTACACTTTGTGTATAGCACCTATCACTACTCGCACTCGTAAACAACATGCTAATTATTGTGTTTTACACTGTGTGCAAACATTATCTAAAACTATTTACATTCAGTATCACTTTGTGTAAACTGCATCTACGTACCTTTTGTATACGCTGAGTAAATAGCTACAGCTAATAAACAACGCTATTCATAGTCAATTCTTGCATCTGTCTTTTAAACCACTCATTCCTCTGTAACTCATTCTCTCAGTAAGCTTGTCATTTGCAGCTTTCATATGGTCTCTGACAGCTAGCAATTTTCGCAATACTGCTCGCTGTTCCTAGCGCGGACTTAGCCGTTAGCCGCTAATTGCCGTCAGTGTGCTCTCTGCCAACAATCACTGATTAGTCTAGACTGCAGATGAGATTGCTTTCAGGCCTGGTCGTTTGAGAGTCTTCTTTCTCACAACAGAAGTTAAGTGGGACTGTTCGGAGTGATGCCTTGACTGCGCGAAGCCATTCTGATTAATGTGGTCAATTGTTGCCAGGTCCTTGTTAGCTAAGATGTTATTAGCTCTAAGAGCTACACTGCTTACAAGCTGTATAAAGATTTTAGAGGTGAGAGAATGAAAGAAAGATAGAAAAAGAACGAGAGAAGGAGGATTTATGGACTGAAGTCATGTTCTGTCTGCCCTCCAGCTGAGCTCACAAAGCCGCAGACACATTAAAATATGAGCAGCGTTTGAGACTAGCGCACAGATGCTAATCCAGATCCTCTCCTCCCAATGGATAACAGCACTTTCCAACTTCGATTCCCTTCGAACCTTTTTCCATGTGATAAGATCTTTTTCCTCTCAGACCCAAGCTTCTCAATCTATCCACCAGCACAATGTGTCCACCTGCCCCATACATTTGGCCAAGCCAAATGACCAGAAACAATGTGATGAGAACCAAGTAAATCTACTCTAAGAAGACAAAAGACCCTTTTCTACCAAGAAGGTACCAGTGCTGGTTCCAGAGCCGACTTGCTGCCAGGAAATGTCACTTTGTTTGAGATGAAAACCATTTGTATGTACACAAATGGAGAGTTTCCAATAAATTGCCAATTTCCGACTCATATGAACTCCAGGTGTTGTTAGTGTGATTAAAGAAAGCTTAAAGTTTCTGTTTGGATTGCATTCAGTGTGCGAGAGCGTCTTTTGGAAGCCAGAGAAGAATAGCTGGCTAACATCTGTCATCATTAGCTGTAGAAATCTCAGGTCTCATGTGGAACCAGCCATAAGATCCAGATGCAGGAACACAGTCCATTCCAGCACCACACGCCTTTCGTAACCCAGTTGTTTAAGCAAGTCATCTGTGCTGCATGGCTTTTGTTTAGATGGTGTCCTAATCTGCTGTTATTTTAACTTATTTTGAAGGTCAAGTTCTGGATTTGATTTCAAGAGTTTTCCAGATCAATTCATTGTTTAGGAACACTCTGAGACATGGTTGAAGCTGGTCATTTGTGGTTGTTAGCTGGTCCAGACTGGCTTAGGTGATATTCAGGCCAATCTAGTAGACCAGGGTCCCTCAAATCTGGCCTTGGAGGATTTTAGCTTCAACCCTAATCAAAGACACCTTAGCAAGATAATCAAGGTCTTAAGAGTTCCTTAAAAATTCAGCTATGTGACTTTGTTCAGGGTTTGAGGACCATCCATCCATCTTCCATACTGTTTATCCTGTATATGGGGTTATGGCAGGCGCGGAGATTGCGGGGGGGCAGGGGGAGCGTTGCCCCCCCGGTGGCTGAAACGGGTAATCGCATTTTCTTAAAAAAGCTGTAAAAAAACTACCAACCCCAATCTCTTTAAGTTATCGCTCACTCGGTCGATTGTGTCATCTAACTCTGAGAGAAGCTTTTCTGCGATAAATGGGCGTCAATTTGAAATGTGCTGGGGACAGAGACGTACTCGAAAGGGCATTTTCACAAGTGCTGGGTACGCATTCATTCTTTTTCTCTCTTTCGAGTAGGTCATGTTTTGAAAGACGATGTTCTGTAGCTCCTGATGTACATAAATAAAAATGAGCACAATGTCCGAGTATAGTGAGTATAAAGTATACGCCCTTAATTGCATAGGCTAAATAAAAATGAGCACAATGTCAGAGTATAGCACTTTTTTCATGTGTATAGTGAGTATATAAAGTATATACTCCCTTTTTCGTGTATACAGTGATGGTCCAGATCCAGGACTCGGGAGGTTCGAGGTTCTAATCCGCACTCGTAAAGGTTTTTTTTCCCCCTCATCAAAACCAATAGGTAGCCTAATCCCGTGTCTTAAAATTTTTTCAATGATTCATGAAGTATAAATGCGAAATTTAACTAGTTTTTTAATCATTATCATTGCCAGAATGTGTTTTGAAAAAAGGAAAGAAAACTTTAAGGTTGAAGATAATATTTTAACAGTGCAAAAGTGGTCCACATTTCATGATCCTATAACGAAGATGCGACGCGAAGTGGCTGTTAATGCGAAGTTCTAGCTGTTTACAATGACATAAAGGCAATAAAATATCAGTGTATTGTTTTACTGTTTTTTCTTGGGATAAAAATAAATATGTGTTTATTTAGCATGTTTTTTTTTTTTTTTTTTTTTTTTGCCCCCCCTGGCTCGAATGTCAAACTCCGCCTATGGGTTATGGGGCCTGGTAGACCAGGGGTGTCCACTCCTTCTCCTGGGTGGCCATTTTAGAGGGCCTGCTGAGTTTAGCTCCATTTGGAATCAACTATTCATCTCAAAGTGATCAACTGGTCTAGGAGAATTGAATTAAGGTTGGAGCTAAACTTTGGACACCCCTGTGTTTGACCATCTTGATCAACCTGTTTTGAGAATGTAGACTATCCTGGTGTGGACCTCTCTGTTGAAAGACCTACAGGCTTCTTAACTAACTCAATCAAGTAGACTTCCATGATCATCCACCTGCTAAGTTTTGCTGATGAACAACATGGCTATGCCAGGTCTCAAGGTGAACCATCACCAAACTAGCACTAACTAGAATTCATACTTGTCTAAGTTGACTTTTTAGGCAGATTGAGCTGATTTACTCAATCAGTGTTTCAAAAGACCATGGATATCCAATCCTGCTCTTGGCGGTCCAACTTTCTGCTTCGACCTGCTCCAAAACACCTGTTTGGAAGTTTGTGCTAATCCTAAAGACCGTTTCTGTGTCCGAAATCAAATACTTCCCTACTATATAGATTGTTTTGTATGGTGTGTTCTGTTTTTTTACATTCGTCTGTACAGCACTTTGGTCTACTTCGGTTGTTTTAAAGTGCTTTATAAATACAGTTTGATTTCATTTGATATAGTATGCTGGGAAAAAAAGTAGGTCAGCAGAGTAGTATGTTCAAATACATGGTATTTGAAAACTCAGCAGGACAGTGGCTTTCTAGGAGTAGTACTGGACAGAAGTCAATTTGAGCTGGATGGTCACATTAACTGAATTTTTAACTGTTTTCCCTCTCCTTTTATCTAAATATTTATCAGTTTCAAGCCTGCCAGACACAAAAAATTTGACCTGCGTCAGAACTTTTGCCGAAACCCGGACAATGATCCAAGTGGACCATGGTGCTTCACTGAACTCACTGAGACTCGGCACCAGGAATGTGGGCTACCCCAATGTGCAGACGGTTAGAGATGACCTCATCTATAATATCTATAATATGTGTTATTTGTGATATGAGAGTACACTATGTGTTTGTCTGCGTGATAAGACTATTTATATGTGTGCATTTAGTGTTTGTAATACGTGTGTGTTTCTGTGTGTTTGTAGTGGAGTGCATGAGGTGTAATGGGGAAACATACAGGGGGCCCATGGATCACACAGAGAGTGGGAAAGAGTGCCAGAGATGGGACTCACAGAAACCTCATAAACACACCTACCAGCCTCACAGGTACCCACTCACATGTACTTGCACACACATGTACACACTCAACTGTGCGATTTACTCGTTCTTCTGTATCTGTATTTATAGGCATGTAGGTAAAGGCCTGGATGACAACTACTGCCGCAATCCCAATAATGATGTGCGTCCATGGTGTTACACAATGGACAAAATCACAACATGGGAATACTGTAACATCAGTGTGTGTGGTCCGTTCACTTTTCTTCATCTTGCTTTCTATAAAACGTACATGCTTTGGTTATAGCTATGTTTCCCGTTTGGTTTTGTTGTGATATTGTGTTATGCTTTGATCATAACATCTCTCCCTTTTGTACTTGACTATATTATATTATTTTGTTGAATTTAATTCAAGCTAAAAGTTTGTAATGCATGTGGAAGAAACCCCTTTCCTATCACAGATGGTTGCGTGTGTGTGATATTTGGATTTCAACATTTTTCAAATGCTGATACTTGAAATTCCTGACATTCTCTCTCCCTTTTCTCTGTTTCAGACTCAGATAATGATGTGCAAGTGGAAGTGGAGGTGACCACCTCTTGCTTTCGAGGTCAGGGAGAGGGCTACAGGGGGACAGTCAGTGTGACCCCTGCAGGTGTGACCTGTCAACGCTGGGACGCACTATTTCCTCACAACCATTCATACACACCACACAACTATAAATGCAAGTGAGTCATTCTACACTAATGCTTTTATTATTATTGTCATTATCAGAACTACATAACACTTTTTGAAGAAAATATGAATGGTGAAAATATATACTATGATATATACAGTATATATATATAAATATAAATATATACATGTATATTAGGGCTGTGCAAAAATTAATTGCGATTAATCACATCCAAAATAAAAGTCAGTGTTTACATAATATATTTGTGTGTGCTGTATATAATTATTTTGTATATATAAATACACACACATGCATGTACGTATATATTTAAGAAAATGTGTTATTCATATATAAAATATTTATATTTATTTAATATAGATTATGTATTTATATATATATACAGAATTTAAGCGGAAATAATTCTTAAATATATACATGCATGCATAGGTATTTATATATACAAAATAATTATATACAGCACACACAAATATATTATGTAAACACAGACTTTTATTTTGGATGCAATTAATCACAATTAATTTTTGCACAGCCCTAATATATATATATATATAACATCTAAGCACATGTTTTCCACTAGGTTTTTGTTAATGAATGAAAGCAAGAATGATATTTCCCCAAACCATGTCACATGGAAAAAAAAAAATAATTTGAATCTTTGAATCAGAGTTTTAATGATTCATTGATAGTTTTAACTGATCTACTCAGGAGAACTCCGGTCCATTTTAACATTGAGCGCATTTTTTTGTACATTTGGAGTGCTGTCAGTACAGACAAAATCGACAAAAATCGGTGTTGCCTACACCGTGTTACTCTTAATAACACCACTCACATGACTGTGCACTCGTAATGACAAATCAAGGAAGTTAAGAGGCTAAAATCAGGTTTAGATCACGCCCCATTGAAGTCAACAAGGTGCGAATTTTAAAAAGACGATAACACGGTGTAGGCACCACCGATTTTTGTCGTTTTTGTCTGTACTGACAGCACTCCAAATGTACAAAAAAATGAGCTCAATGTTAAAATTGACCGGAGTTCTCCTTTAAATGAATAAAACATACACTAACACTCTTCATAAATCAGACACATTATTTAAACTTTTGTGCTTTAATGTTCTCGTACTAGCGGGTTACCAGTTTAATGACGCACTAGAAAACTTAACAACCAAATAAAAAGCGCATTAGAATCATCGCAATATACACAATGTTGCTCAATGTTATATTGCCAGCAAAATCATTGCAAACATATTGTAAACATTTACAGGATTTGGGGTTTGTTCACATCTGGCTGGTACTAAATCATTCTGAAAAAATATATACATGCAAATATGATTTTACAAAATTGTTTGTGTGTGTGTCCCATTCAGGGATCTCAGGGAGAACTATTGCAGAAACCCCGATGGCTCTGAAATTCCCTGGTGTTTCACCACAGACCCAAAAGTACGCAAAGCTTTCTGTACCAACATCCCCAGATGTGAGGCAGAGAGCTCTGACAGCACAGGTAATACCGCCCACAAACACACACTTCTTACACGCTTACACACACTCCACCGCATGGCTGAGCATCGTGAACCATATTAGCCACATAATGAATTGTGTTGTTCCCAAACGCTTAGCTCATCATAATTTACAAGAATTTTAATGATGAAAGACAAAGATGTTTTGCACAGAGGCGCCATCACGGACGTTTGGAGACTGCCTGTAAAGATCTGGCACCAGCTCCAGTGCGGTTTTGTTCTGGGTACCCTCACATTCCCCTTCGTCTGTGTCACACAAGCGCTCCTAAAAGAAAAGATTCTTCTGCGCAAATCGTGTAGTCTGTCTCAAAATCCTCTTAGAATAATGTCTTTTTTTTCATGTGTGTTCCAGCTATGTGTTTCAAAAGACACATTTCTCACCAGAAGAGTCCCTTTGAGGTTTCAGGTCAGAGAGACAGAGCAATGCCTCTCTGGATTCACTCAAACTTCAGTCAGATCTTGGCACAGACAAAAGCTTTTTTCCCCTACTTGTTTGCCAACCACCAATTGTAAAGTGGTCCCTGACGTGAAATCGGCCCTCCCCCACTAGTAAAATTCTGTTTCAAACATGCTTACTTCATGACAGCATGGATACAATCAGCAAATCCATAAATAATCTAAACATGGAGCTTTAAATGAGCATGGCTTTTACTGAAGGTACTGTACATGCATGTGTTTAGGCATGTTAACACTGTTTATGTTATCTTTATGTAAGTTTTATCTGTGTCCTAGAATGTTATGAAGACAACGGGGAGAGTTACCGTGGCAATTTGTCAAAAACAAGATCTGGGATTCCTTGTGGGCTGTGGTCCGACCACACATTCAGGTACGTTTCCATGAAATCGTCACTGGAACGATTTAAACCTGCTGTGTGCCATTTTTTTTTTCTTCATTTTTTCAATACAGCTGGGTTTGAGTGATCAAACTGGTTTAAACACAAAAAGTGCTGCTGGAATCACAGAACCCAGTCATAAAAATGGAATTGACTGTATATAACTTGGAGTGACACTGAATTTGGCCAATTTCGGATGAATAAATCAAAAGTAGGGCTGTGTACTTAAAGGAGTAGTTCACTTTTAAAACTTTTGCTGAAAATTTACTCACCCCCATTTCATCCAAGATGTCCACGTCTTTCTTTCTTCAGTCGAAAAGAAATTAAGGTTTTTGATGAAAACATTTCAGGATTTTCTCCATTTAATCGACTTCATTGGGAACCAAACGGTTCAAGGTCCAAATGAGAGTTTCAGTGCAGCTTCAAAGGGCTTTAAACGACACCAGATGATGAATAAGGGTCTTATCTACGACCCTTCGAGTCATGACTCAAAAAAAGATTTGTTCATTTTGATGAACGAGTTTGAATAGTAGAGTCACGAACGCTCATCACAGAACAGAGCAAGGCGAGCATTTGTGCTTATAAAACTTAAACTTTTTATTTTTTTAAATGAGTGATCGTTTCGCTTGATAAGACCTTTATTTGTCGTCTGTAATCATTTAAAGCCCTTTGAAGCTGCACTGAAACTCTCATTTGGACCTTGAACTGTTTGGTTCCCATTGAAGTCCATTATATGGAGAAAATCCTGGAATGTTTTCATCAAAAACCTTAATTTCTTTTTGACTGAAGAAAGAAAGATGTGGACATCTTGGATGACATGGGGGTGAGTAAATTATCAGCAAAAGTTTTTTTTAAAGTGAACTACTCCTTTAACCAAATTGCGATATGGACTTCTGCACGAAAGAGTGGTTGCAGATTTATAAAAAGATCCAAATGGCTCATAAATGAGTGGAATATAAATGTTCTTACATTTGATCCAATGCTCAATATTAAATAATCATATAATAATTTTTAAATGACTGTTATTTGAAATCTGTGGATTTTACCCAAAATCGTATTAGATATTTTAAACCGAGTATCGTGTAGTTTCTTTTGCATTGCCTGTATTGAAATCAGTTGTGAGTTTTTTGCTTTTTTTAACCATCGGCCGACCCAGTTTTTGCAATGTGTTATGTTTTTTTGGCATTAGTCAGGGGCTTTTTAGCCGATTGACCACGTTGAATCGAGAAATCTGATTGGCTGTTCAGCTTAGCGAATGAAAGCAACCAAAGAAATCAAGACAATCAAGGTCTAATTTTACGTCATCTTTCCTGAGCATTCAATACGTGAATATTTTCAACAACATGAGCCACCTGGAATGAAGAAAGTGATCAGCATGATTGATTTTCAAAATAGTACAGTAAACAAACACTGCTTTATTCACGGTTTGCATATCTGCAGTCCTAGTTTATGTTTCCCTTTTGGAAGGATGAATGTATTGATACCTGCTAATACAGTAATTTCCTTACATTCAGGTGCAGAACGCACATACTAGTTAACAGTCGACTTTAGTCCTTTTAGAGACGCAGCCGATAACACAATCAGATTTAGTTGCCGTTAATTATTTTACGACGGCTTGGCTTGTCGCCCTTTACATGCAGAACGCTATTTGTATGACACTTGACTATGTAAAGCAATCCAAATCTGTCACTTACTAGGTTCCATTCTAGTCAGCATGCTGTCTTAGAAGGCAGTTGTCTATGGAGTCAGTGAGGCATCTCACTCGGTTTTGAAATATTTCAAGCTTTTTTGCACTTTTGCTCTCTCATGGGTTCCTGTTGACTCTTGGAACCAGTTTTCCTTGCAGAAATCATATATTAGCACTGATGTTGAGTTTGTTTTGAAAGGCGGTTATCAGGCAGTATTACAACATTGAAAGAGGACTGAGGCAGTGATAACAAACAGAAGAGGGAGAGCCGGGCCGCTCATATTCATCACTGATACACACCGAGGACAGAAAATACCACACACTGTTCTTCGGGAGACAAATGCCCCATAAAGCAACTAGCTCAGCGTCTTGTAGTCCCTCGGCTCGGGCTAAGCTGTTAACATCACTTAATTTACAGGAATTTTAAAAGCCAAAATGGCACAGACAGATGGACATGTTGCAGGAGTGACCTCTGACCCCAGGAAGTGCTGTCCCCCGCTCTCAAAACACGGGCAGATCAAAGCCAATCAGCTTCTTCAAATGGCGTCCAGCCAGTGAGTCTGCCTCACACGGGGTCGAAAGGTTGTCTCTGAGAAAACTCAATGTTGGCTTGTTCAGCGGTCACCAGGGACGAAAAATTACCTCTCCACTTTATCACTCTCCGTTTCCTACACATTTTTCATTCTGGGTTTTCGGCCCCTGCGATCCGAGGGCTGTCTGTCTCACTCTAGGATTTATTTTCTTTGTAAGTCAACTCTGTAGAAGACGCTTGGCATGCAGTTTGGGGCTGGATTGTGTGTAGCCGTGAGGACAGGTGGTGTAATACGCAGAGCTGCAGTGACCGTTCTGAAGTCATACTTTCATACTTTTATGGTCGCTGGAGGGAGGATATGAATATGATTCCTTCTTTGAACATCTTGTCACACAGCGACATATACGAGTCACCATTCCATCCCTTTAGTGCTGGCCTGTTTCTCTGATTTCCTGTTCTTTGTTTTTATGTGTGAAGGAGAGACACGCGGTCAGCGGAGGCCAGCGCGGGCTTAGAGTTGAACTTGTGCAGGAATCCAGACCGAGATAAGCACGGGCCATGGTGTTACACGTCCAACTCCTCCATTCCCTGGGACTACTGTGGACTGGAGCGCTGTGAGTCTGTCTATCTATCTATCTATCTATCTATCTATCTATCTATCTATCTATCTATCTATCTATCTATCTAACATCTATCATCTATCAAACATCTATCTAACATCTATCTAACATCTATCTAACATCTATCAAACATCTATCAAACATCTATCTATCTATCTATCTATCTATCTATCTATCTATCTATCTATCTATCTATCTATCTATCTATCTATCTATCTATCTATCTATCTATCTATCTATCAAACATCTATCTAACATCTATCAAACATCTATCTATCTATCTATCTATCTATCTATCTAACATCTATCAAACATCTATCTATCTATCCATCCATCCATGCACCCACCCACCCATCCATCCATCCATCCATCTATCTATCTATCTATCTATCTATCTATCTATCTATCTATCTATCTATCTATCTATCTATCTATCTATCTATCTATCTATCTATCTATCTATCTATCTATCTATCTATCTATCTATCTATCTATCTATCCATCTAACATCTATCAATCATCTATCTATCTAAGTATCTACGTATCTATCTATCTATCTATCTATCTGTCTGTCTATCTATCTATCTATCTATCTATCTATCTATCTATCTATCTATCTATCTATCTATCTATCTATCTATCTATTATCTATCTATCTATCTATCCATCTAACATCTATCAATCATCTATCTATCTAAGTATCTACGTATCTATCTATCTATCTATCTATCTGTCTGTCTATCTATCTATCTATCTATCTATCTATCTATCTATCTATCTATCTATCTATCTATCTATCTATCTATCTATCTATCTATCTATCTATCTATCTATTATCTATCTATCTATCTATCCATCTAACATCTATCAATCATCTATCTATCTAAGTATCTACGTATCTATCTATCTATCTGTCTATCTATCTATCTATCTATCTATCTATCTATCTATCTATCTATCTATCTATCTATCTATCTATCTATCTATCTATCTATCTATCTATCTATCTATCTATCTATCTGTCTGTCTGTCTGTCTGTCTGTCTGTCTGTCTGTCTGTCTGTCTGTCTGTCTGTCTGTCTGTCTGTCTGTCTATCTGTCTGTCTGTCTGTCTGTCTGTCTGTCTGACTGTCTGACTTTTGTTCTATCTTTCTGTGTGGACCTTTTCCTTTTCTAGTTAAAAACTAGACTTAGAGCTGTTAGTTATATTCATTTATTTGAAATACATTAAAATGTTCTACTATCCTTGTGATTCAACATTCTACAACCTCAATTTAATTTCAGAAATGGATTTGAAATGTATGGGTCTGAGTTTAATTCTGAATATCACACAGCTCTGGTTATGATGACAGACAGAGTCTCTGACCTACACGGCAGGTGTATTTTGTCATTATTTGTAGCTTGCAAAGACTTGCGGATGTTATGTACAGAATTTGTGTCTGTGGTTTTTGTCTCTGTGGACGAGACGTTACACTATAATGCCAAACATATGCAATCCTCTTCATCTTTGTGCCCACACAGCTGTGTCACTGCAGCTGGATTTTTATAATTGTGATGGTCTGCTGCCGCATGTTGATGAACGAGATGGTGTTTGTGTAGGCTTGTAATGGGAAACACTTTCTGGGGATAGTCCCATGATTGTATTTAGGTTTATCCAAATTACATAGCATTCTTTTTAAGTTTTAGAAACATCACTATTTCAATTGCTGAAAAGTTTTTAATGAGATTATGCATTTGTCTGAATTTGGTTTTCAAAATGTTAACATGTCATTATATTTTGTTCCTGGTTTTTGGTGTAAACTAACATTTCTTGTCTTTTTTATTATCCAGGCAAATCAATGTCATCTGATGACCATCAAAAGAGTAAGTTCATAGCAAATTTCTTAGCAGATAATAAAAAGAAAAAGTTCTATACAGTGGTTGCTGTGATTGCAGACTCCAATGGAAAAAAAAAACTGTGCTAAATGCAAATAATAAATAGAAACTAAAAGTAAACCAACATATAATTAAATAAAACATTTATGCACTAACAGAAGCCACATCCACAAGTGTCCTATTGATTTGCACAGACTATGATTAATTTTATTATTTTTTTTAGCTTATTACATTTGCATATTATTGGGCCTGTATAGTTTTGCTGTTATGTCCAGTGTAAAATACGTATGGATCCTGCAGCAAAACCACTTAAGAACCACTGCACCATGATACTGTGTACTGCATATCCAATATAAGATCTATTTATTTTTTAAAAATGTATTATCTTCTTTGATGAAGTCTTCTCTGACAGTTCCTGATCCTCTCTCAGCAGGTGGAGGAGCGAAACCATCTTGTTTTATACACAAAACCACCCGGATTGTTGGGGGGATGGAGGTGCAGCGAGCAGAGGATGGAAGCTGGGTCGTCAGCATTCAAAAAAGGTACACGTCCTATTTGATCAGCATGAGGTATTATTTTTAATCTAACTCAAATTACATTAAACTCCGTAATTTAGAAGAAATATGCAGATAAATCTGTGGTAGATGAATATTCATTACACTGAAAAAAGTAGTAATTAAAGGGATAGTTCACCCATAAAATGAAAATTCTGTCAGTATTTACTCACCCTCATGTTGTTCCAACCCCGTAAGACTTTTGTTCATCTTCGGAACACAAATGAAGATATTTTTGATTAAATCTGAGAGTTGGATCACTCCTCCATTGAAACTGGCCGGCCCAAAAGTTATGAAAGACATCGTTAAAATAGTCCGAGTAACAACAGCGGCTCAATCTTAAGTTTATCAAGCGACGAGAATACTTTTTGTGCGCAACAAACAATAAAAATACGTACAAACTAGAAGCTTTGCATAGTTTCACTACGTGAAATCTCAAGGCCCACATAGAAGGAAATGAATAATTGATTAAAGTCGTTATTTTTGTTTGTAGTTTTGCACACAAAAAGTATTCTTGTCACTTGATAAACTCAAGATTGAGCCACTGTAGTCACTCGGACTATTTTAACGATGTCTTTCATAACTTTTGAGCCAGCCAGTTTCGATCCCTTTAGAAGAGGGAGTGATCCAACTTCATTACGAGGTTGCAACAACAATTTTCATTTTGGGGTGAACTAACCCTTTTAAGTAGTAATAAAGTAGTTAAAAGAAGTCATTAAGATGGTAACATCTAAATTAACTGGTTTTATTCAAATAAAAAATATATATGTATAACATCAATGAACTTAAATACATTAAATGAAACCCAACACAGCTGATTTGTATAGGTTAAATAAGGTAAAAAATAGCTCTTTAAAGGTGGCAATTGCAGGTTACAGCCTTTTACAATGTCCAATATTGCGTTGAAATTTAAGTTTGAATGAGAATCAGCACATCTTAAAAAAATGCACAAAAAATGCATTTTTCCTAAATATGCTTATTTGTACATACTGAATCTATGTTTGAAGTCTGGGGGAGAGGTTTACTACATCATTAAAAAAATGACATAAAAAATGTCATTATGATTTAGAATATTTGGCTAATAGAATAGATTTTAGTATCTGGAAAATTCAGAAAAAAACTAACATGATATAACCTGTATAAGATGAGGGATGGTAATTAACGACACATTCTGATTGGTTCTCCTCCCGCAGAAACAGACACTGGTGCGGAGGTTCACTCATCAGAGAGGATTGGGTTCTGACTGATCAACAGTGCTTCTCCACCTGGTAATCTATCTCAACTCCTCTAATGACCAGTCACTCTCTCTCGTCAATGTAAAGCACATTGGAGTTTTCCTCCTCCTTGAGCGTGCCAGATTCTGGCCTGTCCCGGCCTTGTGTTCCCATCTGTCAGTTGATGTTTTCTACGAGACGTGCGGATCCAGAGTTTCCGGTTTAGGAGAGAGTAGTGACAGATCTGCTCGGACTGTGACTGATGGTTCTCTGCTCTTGTCAGCGGTGCATCTGTTTAGACTCGGCGTTCGGCTGCATGATATACGCCTGTGGATGTGCTTCACTGACACTTGAGTGAAAACCTGCTGGCTCTGTTTAGTTTGAGGGAGGAAAAGGGGACTGAAGAAGAGCGAGAGTGAGCGTGTCTGGCTTTTAGATCATCTCTACTTCCCCCAGATCCGCTCCCTGGTGGTTTTAGCTATCTTGTGCTTTGCATGAAGACACAGAACCGGGATGGACGCTCGAAACTGACCTCTGTGCCTTGATCAGAACTGGAGATGAGCTTAGCAGGAACGCTCTGCAACATGCATATCTCGTGCTATGTCTGCAATCCAGATTATATATTTCCAAAAGACTAAAAATGACTTATCACCGTTCTACTCGGATACTTTAGTGGCATACTTCAGTTCTGTGTTTGACATATATGCTTGTATGTTCCTCAGTGTTCCTGACCTCTCGGAGTACACCGTGCAGGTGGGGCTTCTTCATCTCAACGCGTCCGCCGGCACGCAGGATCTCCGGATCGCACATGTGGTCTGCGGGCCCGAGGGATCCAACTTGGCCCTGCTCAAACTCACAACGTAAGTGCGTTTATCCATCTGTCTATTTATCTTCTCATCCATCCAGCCATCCTTATGGTAACTCATAGTCTTATGCCCAGGCCTGCCCCTCTCTCTGAGCATGTGCGAACTGTGCAGCTTCCTGTCGCGGGGTGTGCCGTTGCAGAAGGCACTTACTGCCTCATGTATGGCTGGGGAGACACTAAAGGTACTATTCTGTTCTATTCTATTCTTTTCTTTACAGCAACATTGTTTAGGGGTTTGGAAACATTAAAAATGTCTTTTAAATAATTATGGTTGTTATATGCAAAAAAAGAGTCTGAGGACTGAGGAAATGATTAATATTCAAGGTGCAATGCTCCATTATTTATTATTCTTTGCTGATTCCATTCTATTCAACTCTATTTTATTCTTTTTTATTTTATTTTACTATTATATTTGCTCTTTGGCTACCTCAAAGCTTTTCTCATATGTTTTTCAGGGCTTTCAAAATGAATATTTGAATATGTGAATTTTTTTCACATGCATTCAATTTGATAACTCAGATTCAGATTGTATATATATATATATATATATATATATATATATACTATTTATGCGTAGTAAATATATTTATTTGTTTTTTCCTTCTAAATAGTGCTGAATAGTAATATTAATTTTATGATTTTAAATAATATTATATAATTAATATAATATATATATATATATATATATATGAAGAGTTCAGATGCAAAAGCCTCTAAGTGCCATTTGAAATTTTCTTCTAAAATTATAATTTTTATCAAGCTTGTATATTTAAGTTCAGTGATTTCACTTAAATGGCAATGAAGATTACCTATTAATTGTAATTTAAGTGAAATTACTGAACTTAAATACACAAGCTTGATAAAAATGGTCATTCTAGAACAAAATTTCAAATGGCACTTAGAGGCTTTTGCATCTGAACTCTTCATATATATATATATATATATATATATATATATATATACAGTATATATATATATATATATATATATATATATACAGTATATATATATATATATATATATATATAAATATATGTGGTAACACTTAGTTCAGGGTCTAATTCTGACTATTAACTAGTTGCTTATTAGCATGCATATTACTAGGATATTGGATGTTTATTAGTTCTTATTAAGCCCATAAACTTAACAACTACCTTATTGACTATTAATAAGCAGTCATTAGGAGTTTACTGAGGCAAAGGTCGTAGTTAATAGTGAACTGGAGCCTAATCTAAAGTGTGACCATAATTATTTAAATATTTTCCACCGAAGTATTTGCTTTATTAAAATGGTAAAATAAAAATAAAAATTTGAAAACCCCTGATCTTTTTTATTTGGTATTTGGTATTTACTTCAAAACACAGCTCTGATGCATTCAGGTGGTCTTAATAATCACAATGACATCTTTTATTCGTGTTTGTATGTGGACAAAGAACAAGATACACAAATAAATATTTAATGTGACTCAGCATCAATAAAATACACACTTGAAGAAACTAAACACTCTAAGCTCATATTTAACCCATTTTTGACACATAAGGCCAAATAAAGAAAGCTAATTGAACTTGAATGCAAACTTTCCAGACCATTGCATTTCGATTAAAACTGACCCTTTAATCCTCTCTGTTAGGCACGGGACATGAGGGCAGTCTGAAAATGGTGGGGCTTCCAATTGTCAGCAATAAAAGGTGTTCCCAAAGCCACAAAGGTATTCTGCCAATCACAGAGACCAAAATCTGTGCTGGAGGCAAGCGAGACCAGGGTGTTTGTGAGGTACGAGTCGTTGAAGAGTATCGTTTCAGAGGATGGTGTTTATTCAATGATTGTGACCTCTACTCTTCACTATTCACCTCTTACAGAAAGACTACGGTGGCCCATTGGTGTGCCAGGAAGGAGAAAGCAAGGTCATAGTGGGCGTGAGCATCAACGGTCGTGGGTGTGCCGTGGCCAGGCGTCCTGCTGTCTTCGTCAACGTGGCCTTCTACTCTGAATGGATCCGCAAAGTCTTCAAGTACTATTCAGACATGGAAATAAGTTACTAGACTGTTATATTTTCCTATGTGGGGATAATATACTCATGGCGCGTTATGGTTTTCGGCATCTACAACGTGAAGACCATGGTTGCTGTACCATTGGTGTACACAAAACTTGGAGGCGTTTGTTTTTTGTTTTTTAGTAATTAAATGAAAACTACCGGTACAAAAAAAGGTGCAAGACGAGATTATCTGATGTTCTCACAAACAAACTGTAAAAATCAGACATCAGACATTATTTTCTTGTTTTAAACCAACAAATAGAGAAAAATGCAACTTTTTTGTGGCTGGTTAGTTAACTCAAAAATCAAGGACAGATGGATAAATGAGGAAATAAAAGCAATTAGAAGAAACTGTGGTGTTCATCCACATGAACATGTTTGTCTCAGACCAGAGCAGATGTGGTTCTGAACGTCATTCCCTGGAGATACTTGAAGATGTCAATAACCCCACGTTTTCAGACAGGACGGAGTTTTTGTTTTCACTGGGGTGGATTTTTCCAGGTGTTATCGCTTGTGCACAAACTGAATTTTTTCCTCAGTGTAAATCATTTTAAAGGCATTTCAGGTGCAACGTAGGAGGACGAAATTTCCAATACACCATTTTCAACATCAACCACTTTCACGAATCAGATTCGGAGCGGCAGTCTGCACCGTGGCCGATTTTTCATGCCCGAATGAGATGTTATCACACATTTCCAGAAGGGTTCATTGACATTCTAATGTTTCGCACCTTGCCTTACTCCAGTTTGGAGCGTTCTGTGGCCCCTTTGGGGCCGTTTCATGTACTGCACTCCAAAGAGTGTGCGAATGTCACTCTGTGCATCCGTAGGTCTTATAGATCTGAAATTACAAACATCTGAAGGTCTTTCCTTTCACATGGTGTAATATATCTGTCGAAATTTTATACGCAGTTCGCGGAGTATTTATTTATGTCTTTTATAGATGGACCGAAGTCATGGCATTTCACCCTCCAGAAGTGTTTATTGTGTTTAATCTGGCCTGTAGATTTGAAACATAACATTTGTAAACAAAACAAAAGGACGATATGTCTTTAAAGGAAAATATTGGGTCATAACAGGACATTTTTGACTCGAAGGTTTATGTGCATGTGGAGGGTCTTTTCAGACCAAATTTAGACAATTTAGAGTGCTAAGATACTTAATCAAACTGCAGTACTGAACAGGCAGGCTAACTGTTTAAACTAATGTTTATCATGTTTTTAATCCGAAAATGTGTTTTATTGTAAATAATGTGCTCGCTATGTATATAAGGTGCCTGTGTTTTGACATTTTATCATTTTAACACATCGGTTTTGTGATTTCCTCTTTTCGCTGCTGCCATCAGTTGTCTTAATATTGAATATCTAGGCTGCTGTTGTTGTTTTTAACACTATTTTTATATGACTTTTTTGTATTTCCAACTTTTAAAATGTAAATGTGACCCTTTTTTATTATTTGTAAATAATTAAAACTTAAAAAAAAGTTATTATTGGTCATTTCAGTTTCTTTTAAACAGTGTTGTTAGAAATATTAGAAAAATGGCAATAGCACATAACAAGATTACAAGATTACTAATTCAAAATATTAATAAATACTATAATAGTCTAATGATTAATATGCTAATGTATTGTTTTTGTCAGTTGGCTTTCAGCAGGTTGTGTGTTTAGGCGACCCATAGCTGATGAATACAACCCCCTCTTATGGGCGATGGAAAAGGACGTGTGAGAAGAAAGGTCACGCCGACCAAAGCCAATAGTTTCCTGTTTCCTCCAGTGCACTTAAATCAGCGGGGGTCAAAGGTCAGAGTTCAACCTGTTGAAAAGCTAACTGAATTCATAAAGCAGTTTCTTCAGTCAAACGGGAGCAGACAGAGTGTATGTTGAAGCCATCATGGATGAGAGTCAATGCCGTTTCAGTTCCAGATCCATGATGGATTGTTGCCGCCATATGAGGTTAAACTAATACACTTGATTCAATTAATCCAGCGGAGGCTGATTATGGTTGAATCAGATGTGTTAGTTCAAGGCTGGAACAAATTACGCTGTCGTGGGTTCCCAGAGGACAAGAGTTGAAAACCACTGGAACAGACACAAGACGTCAGATCTTCTATAGGACTCCGACGTACAGTAAAACACAGAGGTTTTGTGTTTAAATCAAGAGAAAACCGCATTTCCACCCGAAACTCTCTCTCTGAGAGTAATCATTTGAAGTCATTTTTTCTGCTTCAGTGCTTTGTTAACTGCTCGTATAATGGCTCTCTTCAATCTTTTTTTATTTTATTTTTTGAGCATCTTGCTTGTGCAGAGTGGTGCATATTTTCTTTATAGACTTCACTGCATGTACATCGAAAGAGTTTATGCGTTTGATCTTTCGAACGTGGAAAATAAACACTAACAATTTTAGATTCATGGCATTTATGTCAGAAATAAGCCTGTGAGTTTGACCTCTGCGTGTTTGTCAGAGTAGCCCAGACTCCCTGTTAGCGCTTGAAGCATTCTGGTTTGTGTCCAAGTGTTGATCTCGTTCACTCACCGTGTAGAAGTATGCGAGTCCAGTCCAAAGCTCACAGGAGAGATTTCTTACCAGATGAACCTGTGCTGACAGAGGTGGTCTGCGAAACCACCTGCCTAATATAGTGTAGTTCCCACTAATGCTGTTAAAACAGCTCTGTTGCATCAAGACATGGATTCCACAAGACCTCTGAATGTGTCCTGTTGGATCTGACACCACAGATGACACCTCCATGGATTGGATTTGTTGGTCCAGGACATCCCATGCTCAGTCAGATTGAGATCTGGGGAAATTGGAGGCCAAGGCAAAACCTTGAACTCCAAGGCAAAACCTTGAACTCTGCGTCATGTTCCTCAAACCATTCCTGAACAATTTGTGCAGTGTGGAAGGGTGCATTATACTGCTGAAAGAGGCCATTGCCATCAGGGAACACTATCCCTATGAAAGGTTGTACATGGTCTGCAACAATCTTTAGGTAGGTGGTACTGTATCTGTTAAAGGAGAAGTTCACTTTTAATTTACTGACCCCCATGTCATTCAAGATGTCCACGTCTTTCTTTCTTCAGTCGAAAAGAAATTAAGGTTTTTGATGAAAATGGGACTTCAATGGGAACCAAACGGTTCAAGGTCCAAATGACAGTTTCAGTGCAGCTTCAAAGGGCTTTAAACGACACCAGATGATGAATAAGTGTCTTAGGACCCTTTGAGTCATGACTCGAAAAAAGATTTGTTCATTTTGATGAACAGGAGAGTCATGAACGCGCATCACAGAACAGAGCAAGGCGAGCATTTGTCCTTATAAAACGTTAACTTTTTTATTTATTTTTAAAACGACTGATCGTTTCTCTAGATAAGACCCTTATTCATCGTCTGGTGTCGTTTAAAGCCCTTTGAAGATGCACTGAAACTCTCATTTGGACCTTGAACCGTTTGGTTCCCATTGAAGTCCATTATATGGAGAAAATCCTGGAATGTTTTCATCAAAAACCTTAATTTAGTTTCGACTGAAGAAAGAAAGACAGTTCCAGTTCTGTTGGTGCATGTGCTGCGAGATGACCACTAGGACTTTTATTTTACATTGTGTATATGTCCAAAAAACACCAATTTGCTCATTTGTTTAGCTAAATCGCTTATGTTATTAAATGTAGAATAAAGGGGCTCTGATATATGCAGCAAAATTCAGATATTTTTCACTTGAAAGTTCAAAATGTGTATTAAATAAACAAATGTACAAAATGATACAAAATCATGTTTTAAAGATGCATTATAAAATGTAAATGTTTAAAGAAAATATAAAAAAACAAGTCTTAAAATTTTGTGTTGCTTCCAATTTGATTTATTATATTTTAAGAATATTTAGTTATTTTATAAGACAAAAAGTGATTTTTGCATCGTATCTCTTTATTATGTATTCCCGTTTTGACAAATTCGACAGGTTTTAAGTTTTCAGTCTGTGTTATTTTTAAAGCACTTTTTTTCTCACTTAAAACATACGACCAGCATATCAAAAACATAATTATTAGTCTAAAAAAAAGTACATCCAGACCAAATGCCACTTTTTCTTTCCTTTGCTGCCCTCTACTGTCCACACCGTCAACCAAATTCAAAACCTTGAAACATTCTGTCCAATCAGAGATTGATGAGAAGCCCACTGTGAGCGATTAAGACTTTCGTCAGTGTTTGAGGGAACCAATCGGTAATCTGATTCCATTTGGCCATGTTGTTGATATGATCGCATCAAACTCTCTGTGTGATCCAATGGACATGTTGACATTGCATCAGAGTTCAAATGAGCCCATGGAAAAGTGTTTTTGTCTCTGTGATGGGCCAATGGAAAAGTGGATTGTGTGTGATGAGCCAAGTAACCGTCCAATGAGCTGCCAGAGGTCGCTGGCAGAGAAATCAAAGCATTCCTACTTCTCAGAAATCCAGTTACACCTGAGAAAGAGAAATCATTTATAATGCAGACTGATTCTACAATGAAAACAAGACATCAGGACTTACCCAGTGATCCACAGTCACTACGGTCTTCCCTTCGCTCCCTCCTCATCCTCGCTCTGCGATTGGAAAACCAAACCTTCAGATGGAAGGTCAAGACCAGGTCAGACATCTAACAAAAAGCATCTTCTTCATTTGGCAAATGTTTCTTTATGGGGAAAAAAGCAACTTTAAATCTGAATTGCCTTAATGGTGTCTTGTGGAAGGTTTGTCTCCTCAGACAGCTTTTCTCTGGTCAGCAGGTCAGGATAAAGCCCACGGATGAACTCTGAATGGCCAGAAACCAGAAGGGGAGATGTTGCGATGTCAGTATAATAGCACACAGATGGACTCTGAGCAGACAGTGAGAGATTGAAGTGACTGAAAGTGAATCACCTTTCTCTAACCTCTCACTCTGGTTTGGTGTGAAAGCAGTTCTGTTGCGAGGAGAGGTGCCTCGTGGGGTTGTGTCCGTTTGTTGCTGTAAACTCCTCTGCTCATCTACTTCTGGGTGAAAGGAAGTGAACGGAGAAGGTTAGTGCACATATTTGTTTCAAGACCAATAGGATGAATGCATGTGGGACATTTTAGATGGGACACTTAATCATCTTATCATTATGGGCCTATTCTTCTATTAGTAAACATAAGCAAGTAACACTATAAAGCCTTCTTTTTTTGTATGTGGTGATCTTAAAAAGTAGCACTTGGACAATAGAAATTTACTGTATAAAATATGGTAGCAAGACTTTACGGTAAGGTTTTACAGTCTTAACTTAAAATTTACAGGGAAAAAAACGTATTTATTATCTGATTTAATGTTAAATTATCTACTAATTGAAGTATTAATATCAGATGACATTTTAAAACTACAACAGTGACAAATGTCTCGCTTCACCTGCATGTATTTACCCTAGTATTTCAATCATGAATGAATTAGATTACCTGTGTAAATGTGTTTGACGCTCGGATATGCACTGCCCATCACATCCACATCTAGATGAATCTTCTTAAGAATCCGGTTTATGGATGACACCTAATGGACATTGATTTGTTGAATAAAAAATGGCTCTTTAGATGATTCATGAGAACTGTTCAACCAAAAAGTTATTTGGGGAACCAAAAAAGGTTCTTCACTGCGTAATACCTCATAATGAGGTCCTCTTTTGGATTTTTTTTTTTTTTTTATTATGTAGAAATTGCCTTTCAAAACTACACCAGCTTTAAGGAAGACCTACACTGGGGACTGTATCTCCTCTGCAGACTCGATCTGTCGCCAGTTTTTGTCGGATCTCCCAGGCGAACAGTGTGGGGTTCTGCCGCTTGTGCTGCGCAATGATGGAGATGACGTCAGGAGTCAGGAGCCTGGGTCTGCTTCCTCCCGTTGCTTTGGGACCAATGGCCCCTGTGCGCTGAAACCTGCCCAAAATCTTACTAACGCAGCCGTTGGAGACCTGACAGAGCATAGGCTTATTCCAGCATGTATAGATATTCACATAAACGCATGGCAAAGGTGAGAATTTGACTCAGTACCTTGAGTATTTTGGAGATCTCACACGGTCTCACCCCCTCGGTCGCGAGCTCAACCATCAATCTCCGTTTACAGACGGGCAGAGGACGACCGTTCAGAAACACACCGCCCAGCTGATTCACACTCCCTTCTTCTCCTCCTGACACATATATCCACAGATAAGGCTACATTAATTGGAAGTTTGCGCATTTATAATGCAGTGGAATTTCTTCCATAATCAGCTGAACAACTTTTCTGCGCCTTTGCTGAATAAATGTGGAATGTTTAAATGCCGACCTTCATTTCCCAGAACATAGTTTGCGCTGCACATCCCAATGGGCACCTGGTAGCCTTGCCAACAACAAAATAGATTTTAGTAAACATGTAATGCATTAAATTAGCCTGAAAATCTAATGCGGGAATAAAACTACAATGAGTTATAGTGAAGACGGTCTTTTTCTGTGAATGAGATGCGTCCTTGCGCGTGGACCCCTCACTGCCCCGGCGCGCGACTTCTTATATAGCTAACCTAGTGTCCTTATCAAGATGACGTACTGTGCACATAGGAGGGAAAAAAGGTAAATATAGACTCTCGATGTTGATTATGTAGTCACTGATTGTTTTCACTGACTTTTATCCATAATTTATCCCTAAAATCAAAAGGGGGAATTGATAGGTGATAGAAGCACCTGCTTGTAACTCTGTAAAACTGAAAACTTGTTTCTAAAATCTGATTGTTTGATTGGATGTTGTTCCACAAAATTTGTCACTGGGATGGTACCCTTTAAAATGGTTCTAATGTGTACCATAATATGTAGACCTTGGCAACAAGTAGCCTACCTTTGAGGCTTGCAATCTATATAAAAATATGTAGGTAGGCTATATACCTTTGCTGTACAAATATGAACAGCTTTTGTACTTTTTTTCTAAAAGTGAAGGGTTGCAACACCGTTTTTGTAATGTTTAGAGTTAGATTGCAAGCATACGCGCGAATTTGACGCTAAAAGTGTTGTTTGGCGAAACCCGTCCATTCATTTGAATGATGTTCGCGCGCTTTCCATTTCCACACTGAATGTAGGCCTAGTAGTTATTATTAGTTTGAAAAGTCTTTTAGATAAGTTTACTGTGGAACTCAGTGGCGTAAGTGCCAAAGATGAACCTGAAAAAGATTACGCTCAGAAAAACAATCTTCAAAAATAATCAACTAAACTAAAAACAGCGCGCCTTCTAAAATATCATTGTGTCCTAATTGGCACTGTGTGCACCGATGGGACAGATGCAGTGGTTAGACTTGCAAGTTCCCTGCGCACATAGGCCTATGAGACGATTATTTAGAGAAAGTAGGTACCCCAAATGATTTATTTAGAAGATGTGTTCATTTAGAAAAACATGGCGTGCATAAAAAGTGCTTCATGAGCAGGCCTATTTGTTGAGCGAATAGAGAGCACCAAGTGTGTGAAGTGTCTGATTTCAGCACCAGCCCGCGCTGAACAGGTCCCGACCCATGATGTTCTGAATGAGCGAATGAAAACAGTGCTCGCCCACATATGAAAGTAGTCAGCTTCCAAATTATGATTTTGAAATGTTATACTCATTTATGTGCCCACAAGCCCTGTTTTACTACTGTGCTTCTCAAACGACTGGAGATTGAGGCTCTCCGGCTGTCACGTGACTGGCGCATCTTTCATCCTTCCACGCGACGACTGTAGCTACATGTTAATCAGATTTAGCTCTTTTAAAGCAAACATTTGAAAGCCTGCTCCAAAGACGACTGCCATATGGTAAAGTGCTTTTGATAAATCATAAATCCATCATGGAGCCCCTTTTATTACATTTTCTTTCAAGCATGAACAAATAGAGTCCGAGGGGCAAATGTGAACCAATTGTGGTTTTATTTATAAAAATCGAGAGTTGAAAACCCTCCCAGATGTCCCTTGTCTGGCCAGCAGATAAAATGTGTTGTAAACGTTTCAAAGGAAATATTTGGAGAGCAAATATTAGCGCGAGAGTATCCACACAAGCCTCATCTTTGGTCCTGCTCAATGACTAATTGGGCATCATTAGGTAAACCCACACAGATCGAAGATTGTGGAAATAAGGTTGGATTTTAAAATGCCATATGGTGCAAATTACATATTAACCACCCCTTACAGCATAATAATATCTGCAGGACCGAACGATGCATACATAAACGCGACGACCGATTTGAACGCCAACATCTCCTTGCCAACGAAATGACCATACAAACAACATATTTATTTATTACTTCAGAGAGCTTTACCTTCCTTTTTACTCGTTTTATTAAACGAAACTTGATAATTAAACGAGTTAAAGTTTCAAAAATGAAAAGGACGAACCCCTCTCTGTGCGCAAATCTGTCTGGCACTTTGGGGATGTTAACAATTTGAACATTTAAATCAATACGAATTTGATTTATTCGCGTATCTTGTGCCGTCAGAAATCAAGAAAGCCACACTAATGAGTCATCTTTCCATGTTGTGCTCTGAATCATAGCACTTAGTCTGACAAGGCACCCGCGTAAATGTGTACATGGAGCTCTCCAAACGCGCACACGTGTGGCCATTGCAATTCAAATATCAATTGAAATAGTGCGGATGAATCTTTAAAATTAAGAGGACGCAAAAAAACATTTTTTGACACTAGCTTTAAAGTCCCATGGCCTCTTTTTTATTTTTATGTTTCACTATTTGCACCAAAGCTCATGGCTGACAGTTGAGAAAGTGCACTTTCGTGCCAACAATGCAAAAATTCGGGTACATCTAATCTTTTACGTTTCCTCCCCAAACGTGTTATTTAATTGCATAACTGTCCACAAAGCTATAGGTACACCACCTTATCGTTTCCAAAGCTCATGGTTACATATACTCACCGTTTTTGGAGCTCAGTGAGACAGCTGGGAAAAGTCCAGAATTGAAGTAATCTTTAATTTCACAGTATACCTTTGTATGCCAATCAGTGATAATGCATGAGCCATATGGTTATGAGGCATAAGTGAAGTAAAGCATGTTTTCAGGTTCTTGCGTTTGTCCTGATCCGAATATTTTGAAACAACAATGATCGACTAATGTTTTAATAATTCATTTGACGCATTAAGAGAGGTGACTGTTCCTTTTATTAATCAAGTAGCCTATTAGAACAATCAAGAGGGTGAACTATAGTTGTATGGTTGTGGGTGTGAGTGAATGTATGTCCAATCTGCATTCATGTGACCACTCATATTATGATTTTTGTATGAGATACTAATGAGCATTGTAAAAAACAAAAAAACAAAAAAAAAAAAAACGTATGAATTCGGGTAATCTCATCTGGGACATTGGGTAATGTGGGACACCTATCTCCACTGTGTTTATTTCCTGTTCTAACAAAATTGTGTATAGCTTTCACTATAGGTTTAGCATGGAGGTCATATAACTGAAATCACATGACTTTATGGGGATGAAAGGTTCAGGGCACTTGTCAATCAAGAAGCTCCCCTTTGAATTGCATGACAAGGGCATTGACATATAGGACACTGTTAAGGACATAAATCTTTCATAAATAAGGCAATGTTCCTAATTGTGGTCAAATTATGTTTGTGATCTATTCAAGCAACAAAATATGTATTAAAGTGTTGAAAATGTGTGTTTTTTCTTCTTTCAAACATTTGGTTGTCCCACTTTTTTAAATATGATTGAGAATGTGGGACAGCATGCTTTGGTAATCTGGGACAGTCTTCAAATGAGGGAAATATGCAATTTAGGACCTTTATAAGTCTAATGACAAGGGGGTAGATCTCATTACAACTTAGTGGTATAGACAACTGATAAACTTTAAAATGAACTCTAAAATAAAGCTAATCAGGGTTTGAAATGAACACCCAACTCGCCAAGTGTGGATAACTGTGGTGGGTAACGCTTTCAAAACTAGACAATTTGGCGGGTTATCTATTATTTTTCTCACTTTGCTGAGTCTCTCATCTGCAAAGAGTGTTTGTTCCCTGAGTAGCCCCAATTTGAATGGACAACTATAACTGAATGGATAATCTGTCAATCAAATAGATGTTTGCTGTTGCTCAAATTTTAGTTAAAATTTTAAATATTATACAAGTTTTTTTAGAGTGATAAATGAATTTAAATGAATTACACAGTCGATTGTTAACTCTGATGTGATAGAACTTCTTTTTCCTTGGAACACTCTTTATGTAAATATGACTATGTGTATATGAAATAATGAAATTTCTATGAATTATTATACATTTTAGGCCTAACACATGTCCCAGATTACAAAGTGACCTGTCTCAGATTATCAAATTCAGGTTGAATAAATTTTCGGGGCTTAAAAACACTATAGATGTGGCATGTCTCCTCTAGGTAATATCTACATTTGTTCTTCTGGTGTGGGTAGAAAACTAAGGGATTTCAGAAAAGTTTAATGTGTTGATCTAATATGTTAGATAGATATAGAAATAAATCACAGAAGTCAAAATTGCAGATTAACAGAATTCACCACTATAAAATCATTTGGGTGCAAGGCGTCACACACATTTCTATTTGTTCCAGCAGAACTATTCCAATGCATATAGCTACTTCTATTCTAACATAAGTTCAATATGATCTACTATAGAAAAAAGGTGATGTCAACAGAGTCTCACTTCATTTAAAAAAAAAAAAATGGAGATGTGTAATATTGAATTATGAGTCAATGCAATATCTGTCAAATGGCGTCATCTAGTGGCCAGTAAGTACTTTCACAGCATTATTGTCGAGCAGGGGGTCCATCTCATCCAGATCTCATCACAATATGAAGTCTTTTTATTAATGTCAGAATATGTATATCATATTTTGACAGTGCATATTTATAAAATTGCATGCATAATTATGAAACCTGTTGAATTACAAACGAACGTAAAATCATAGTCGATATAGCCTATAGTTAAGTGCTTTCAGTTTGGGTTTCACCACACGGCTTCTTCAACAGGAATTGTCTCTCTATAAATCAATTCCAAAATGCAGGTATGCGTGGGGAAGCCGCAGTTTAAATGACACAATTAACAAATTAACAATTATTTGTGTCTTGTCACATGTTTTCTCTCTTTTTTTTCAATTAATTCTAACAAATAATTTTTTAAGGCTCTTATATTGTTAATAGTGTTAATATTGTGTTATAACGGTGATTTCTATTGTACAATTTCATACTCAACGGACATTAAATTACATATGTAGCCTACTACAGGCTTCTTGATCTCTCTCAATCCTCCATCCATGTTGCACAGAGAAAAGTATTTGTATAAAAAAACAAACAAACAAACAAACAAACAAACAAACAAACAAATAAATAAATATAAAAATAAATACTTGTGCAAATAAATAAATACAAATAAGTTAATGCATGAAGAAATGCACAAAACACAAACAAACAATCAAACAAACAAATATAGAGAGTAATAAATAAATAAATGAAGTTAGGTCCATAATAAATAAAGGAAAACAATATTCAAAAATAATTCAGGATTCAAT